TACTTACGTTAACCCTACACAAGTCTCCCTAGTCGCTAACTGTTACTGATTTAGAACCGGCATGCACTGCAAATTATTCTTCACATTGCAAAATGACATACGCATGCGTCAGGAACATCTGTTCGAATAAACCTCACCTGCGTCCGGGTCAGCCATTTTAAAAAGGTGGCAACACTAGCACGGAATTTTTCATTACTTATTCTGTGACGAAACTGAATTTTAGTTTTTTAAATTGAGATACCTAAATAAGGGGACGGCGAAATTTTCCTTTGCCCCGGGCGGCTGACACCCACGCTACGCCACTGATGTGAATTTATATTGAAATAGCATTTTACAGAATCAAGTGTGGAAAACAACATCTCCCATGTAGTGTCCGTTATCAGTGATGCATTTCTGGAGACGAATCTGGCGACTTCCACGCGAATAGCTTCCTTCAGTTTTTGCAAATAATGGGCTTATGCTCATATACACGTGCCTTGAGGTTTCCCCACAAGACAATCGCACATGGATAGGTCGGGCGAATGAGAAGACCAATGAATGTCACCGAACCTGAAAATGGGGCGATCAGGAAAGAAACGACGAATAACGTCAATTGATGTTCTAACTGCGTGGGTCATCACCCCATCCTGTTGAAACCACACACGTCTGATGGGAATACGTTTCCATCGTACGCAAGGATGCGGAAACGTATTCCTATCAAATGTGTACGACTGAGCAATCCCCCTTTGCGTACAACTTTTTCCTCAGTCGTACGCAAACACACGGTGTTCTATCGTCCACGGCTCCATGGCTTCTACTGAAAACACAATGCTAAGACCTCACTACTTTCACGCTACCTGCCACACATCTGTCACTCCACCTGATGGTGAATTCTAATTATTTCAAAAACCTCTGTCTTTTCTGCCCCACCCTTTATTTATCACTTGTACCATTTTTCATTGAATTCTACTAAAAATTCTAAACTTGGCACTCGTCATAATATCTAAAATATTATAAATTGTAAAAGTAAAATTAAGAATTTTACTTACTGACGAAAAATTTAATAAAATAACGAAGTGGCTCTTCTGTAGTTGCAAGGAGGATTAGTGTCTTTCGGATTCCAGAAAAGAAAAATTTTCACTTTGATTAATTCAAGCTTTCCATCTCCAGTTACATACAAATTATATTAATGACGAATTTTATTAATGTTTCCAGAAAAAAAACTAAAAGTAAATTATATGAACTGAATATATTCAGCGTAATAATGAAATTTTCCAGGTTCTTAAAGACCCATTCTTATATTGAAACATATTTATAAGTTTGGCTATAAAAATGTTTATATATTTAAATATAAAATTAAAAAATACTTATTAAAAAATTTTGAATTTAATACATTAAATTTAAATTCCTTATAAAAAATATAACTGTGCTATTTCTTCATTAAACCAAATTGTAATTTATTCATTAATATTTATTTAGTTTAGTTTCTTGACACCAGATGAAGCTGTAATCAGCAATATTAGAAAAAGACAACTTTAGTTTCGATTTTATATTATTTTATTATTCGCAGTTTTATTATGTAATAACCAATAAAATGATTATTAAATAATTAATTATTACAAATAATATTTTTATTAATAGAGATTATAAAATAACATTGATGAAACTAAACATTAAATCCTTGTCATTCGATAACATGCCGAACCTATCACATCACAACTTAAAATTCTTATAAATAATATTTTCCTTGATAATTTAATTGTAATCTTAACATTCTAAATATATAAAAACATTTTAATATAATTTTTTCTGTTTTTATTATTTAATATTCCGAATTTTAATTTAATAAATTATCCTTTATGGCATAGAATCTTTTGTATATCTATTTGTAACCCACACATAACGGATCTATAAAAAAGTCAATATGGTAGGTTATTTATCTGGCTTTCAATATAATTTATGAATCATTCTTTCAATAAATCTTAATTTAGAAGAGATATATATAAAGATTTTTCTTCAAAATATTTACCTAACACAGTTATTTAAAGGTTGAAACTGTGTTTATAAATAATAAGAAAGTAATAAAATTATTATACTTTATGTAATTTATAGGAGAAAATTCTTTTTAATTTAATATTTCATATAGTTATTATCTGTTTGGATATAAATACAATTAATTTTTTTTCATTTAAAGTAATATATAAAAAACCAAGACGTCAGTTGAAAATCATGTGGCAGTGTTTTCTAGTTAGGATAGTTCGGGATCGTGGCAGTTTCCACAATATATTAATTAAATTATATCTATCAAATTTAAATTTTATTATTATTATTAACTTAAAACTTACTTTAAAAAATTCCATGTGAATTTATTAAATCTAATGTTAATATAAATAGATCTACAACTTTTTTCAATGCATGCTTTAATTGATTTGCTAATTAATTTATTATTTTAATCATCTAATGGTGATTTGGATTTTCAAAACAACATGAAAAAAATTAATTTATTAATAAATTTTAGGCTTTCATTAACGAAAAATTAATTTTTTAAATATTTTTCAAGTAAATTAAGCTTATTTAATTTATTAATTTTGACATTTTTTTTTTAATTTTAGACTATATGTAAGCGTAAATCTATTTTATATATTAATTAAATTATAAATTTTAATGTAGAAATGATAGAATAAATCCGCAAAATATTATGTTTTTTGCATTGTTTGAAAATTTTTAAAAATTTTGAGAAAGTTTTATTTTAGAAATTTTTGATGTGAATGTGTTTTGAAAATCGGAAAAATTGTAAAAAACTTTTTATTTATCTTTCCAACATTTCAAAAGTTGTGTAAAGTTCTAACTTTAAAATAATTCAAAAATGATAGCAAACCTCCTTCTTATAACGTAATAAGAGTAATATTTTACCTTGCAAACGATTGTTCCAATTTTAAAATTATAATTAAAAACAAGAATAAAATTTCTATAACTTTAAAATGTTTAAATTAAGCGTATTTTATAGTTCAGTTAAGTATAATAATTTACTCAAAGTAAAAGTGAAAGGAGAATATCTATTACATCATAAAAAACTTAATTAAAATATTTTTAAGTTAAAATTATTTCTGTATTATTTCATATTAAATTTACAACTATTCTAAAATTTTAGATAATAATATTAAAAGGAAATACAGCTAATACTTATAAGAATGAGAAATTTTTTTATCTCATATAAAGCAATTATTTTTATAAGTCTTTTCGCTCATTAACGTGTTCAACACACGAACATACAGACTTGAGTCTGTAAACATTTTTGATTTTTAAAGGGGTTTATAAATCTCAGTGATGTGGGAAACGTTGCGTTAGTATTTATTTGAACTTTTCACATAACAATTATTATATAGAATAGCGATTCTCAAGAAGAGTGTCATGAACTCATCGATATGGTACATTTCAAAAATTAATTGAAAAATGTTAATTGTTTTACTTTTTAATATTATTTGTATATTTTTTATATTAACTAATGCAACCTTTATCGTGGTACTTCGTTTATATATATCATCATCTTTGATGCCACATTGACTCAATGTGCAACCAAAATAAATATGCCAAGATCAAGAAGGTTGAAAACAACTTATAAGAATCTATAGGACCTTATAGACAATATTTTTTCTAATATTATATATAGAAATATTTGTTATGTAGCTAATAATTTTACATCTGATATAAAAAAACTTCCGTGAAACAAAGGTTAGTCATTTTTCAGACATTTTTTGTATGTATACAGTAATTCCTATGGCATAATAACGCACTTCCTTATTCTTGTAATATTATACTTTATTCTTAGATAAATGCATTTTTTGCATTGTTATGAAGTTTATTTTTAATAAAATTTTCGGCGTTGTTTATATAAATTTAATATTTAAAATCCAATCTTAAATCTTAAATAATTTTTTACATTAAACTGAAATTTACTTAATATTCAAAATAGATAATTAATTAAATACGAAATTTAATTTTTTAAGTATTCGAAATATATTTAATTTATTACAGAAAAAATATGTCATATTAATAAATTAAATATAATATGTTTAATTTATGTCAGATTACGTAATTAATTTAGAAGTATACAGTCATTGGAAACAATGTGAAAGTGCAGATTATAATGATAATAGGTCCTGTATTCTACTTAAAAACTATTCAGAATTTATTGTAGTATTTGTTAAAACGATAATATATTTTTTTCTCACTTAAAAAACTTTTAGGCCTATATTTATCAACATTTAAAAATGGTTTACTCTTTTAAATTAGCTTTGTGTTGTTAATTATTGGAATGTACTGTACAATTTTTCTTTTTTGTAAACGTTTACCTTTGAAAATTAACAGTTTTTTCTCATTTAAAATTACAACAAGTATTACATCATAAGCATTATTTTTTATGTTTAAGTTATACAGAAGACTTAATTTGAATGCCATGCAATACATTGACATAATTTTACATTGATTTCTACAAATGACTAGACTATACAAAATACAATTTTAATAAATATTGTTTATAATCATTCAAATAAATAACAATATAACAAATATAAATTAATTTAAAATTAATATACTTTTAATAGTTTACAATGTTCATAAAATTGTTTTAACGTAAAAAATATCATATAGACTATATATAAATAAACACGTAGATTAGCGTTGGTTTTTATTTATTAATTTATTTATTTTCTTCTAAAATCACCGAATAAATTTATTTTTCATAAATTAAAAGCAAAAGTTATTAATTTTTTTACGATCGATTTTGCTATGTTAATTTAATATATTGCTTAATAGACCTGTACTGTGTATTTATAAACTTTTATAATAACCTGATTAATGCGCTTAAATTTTTAATATAAAAGATTTAATGAAAAAAAATTAAAAATGTATAACATGTAAAAATGGAAGAATTGCGAGTTTAGATCATAATATTTTAGTCTTATATTACATTTTATATATGTTTTTAATTAATTTAGATAAAATATTAACTTTTGCATTTATACATTAATTTTTTGTTTAAATTTAGTTTTTTAATAATTTATTGGGTCTATAAAATAGAGCAAGTTAACGCAATTTTTTCTAGAATCTAGGAAAGTAAAATTTAATACTTTCTGATTTAACACAGTAATAATTTATTAACTATTTAAGCATTTTTTTGAGTCACTCTATTGTATAGACCCATATTATTGTAAATGTTAAATCCAATTAAGACCCGTGAATTTTTTAAAGATAAACCGTAGAATTATAGGCTACACATCTGAACCATTAATTGGTCTTAGTTTGGGCTAAATTGTATTCATAAATAAAATGAATTTAAAAAAGCGCATTAAATGAACACCGTTTTCAGATTTGACGAAGTTCATTTCAAGCTATTTTTAAAATGTACAGATTTTAAGAATGATTAACGTTACAGATTGCACTCAACATACAATTAAAAAATGAGAAATAAGGGATCTTGTTTCATCCCTCACCGTTCATGAATACTGTAGACTTCAATTATGAATAACGGGCTCTCTTAAAGATGATTACCGGAGTAACTCATGATGTATTAAATTGTTTATGAAATTAATTCCATCAACTCAGAGCCTGCAGACTAATTGAGAATCTGAAGAATGATTTGGGTCATCAATCCAAACGTTCCATGTGGTACATGTCTCCCAGAATCCTTTCTATTGGTATGTCTCCGATCGTGTCCTTAAAAAACAGCCTCTCTACGGAGCTACTGCTTATGGCACGCAAACAGGGTATTAACAGAAGAAGACGACCGAAACGAGTGGGCTGTCTGGGATACTTGTGACGAACGTAGTCTCCCAAAATGCACTGTGCCTGATCTTGTAACATTTCTACCGGATGAATATCGCAAAGGCTCATCGTCTCTGATAATAACAAAATAATTAACACTTTAAATTCAAAATTAAATATATAAACTGCGTTTAAATTGTTTAACGCCATACCTGGTTTAAATAGCACAATAGCTTTTAAGCAACTGCATTCTGTTCCATCAGGTGACAGTTGACGGAATCTTCTCATTATCTCTTGAATATAATGAAAATCGATAATGTAAGACGTATCTTCCGTTTTTTGTTCTGCGGGAGGACGAGACACCGGTAATGTAGAACGGGGTAATGTAGCCAAAAGATCTAAAGTTACGGACCACTGCGCCATATTGAGAAGAAATAAGTCTTTCCAAGATTCTTCTAAGAGGATTACCTTTTTAAAAAATAGAATAATAATTTAATAAGAACATTATTAATAATAATAGACATTGCGTAGACTAAATGAAATAGCTAAAAAACCAATTAAGTCAAAATGCTGTAGAGTACTTTAAAAAAATAAAAATAAAAAATATGGGTAAGAAAATGCGAAATAAATCTGTAATCAAGTGTTGGCGTATCGTGACCATCCATTTATTAGATCAAGCAAATGAGTAATAAATTACTTGAGCAAGGTAGACAGATAATCTTGCCAGAGTCTGGGAAAATAGCAGCAGTCAGTCAAGTTTAGTTACTTGTCTACTTAACACCTCTAGATCGGTAACTCTATGCCATTCTGGCCAATAGGACTGAGATGCCGGATTGCCTGCGGCCAATCGTCTCTTTCTGTGTCGAGTGAATCAGTGCAGGGCTTCGCCAGTCAATCGATAGAGCGGCGAATGACTGGCAGGTTATAGGTTAACTATACGCCTCTACACCATGTGATCGCAGAATCGTCACATGTTTGGTCACACGGAACTGAATGGGAGTAATTTGTCAGATGATCATATGTGGAAAATATTACTGAGTTTTTTTAAACGTTTTCTATAGATGAATGATTTTCCTATGCATATGCCACCACTATAAGGCTTCCGAAATGATAAACGTCCTGTGGTTTGTTAAGGTAAATTTTCAAAATGTAGAAATATAAAACAAAAAGAATTATTGTATTTGAATTTATGATTAGAGAAAGCAACTAAAAATAACTTAACTTTAAAATAGAAATTGTAACAAAAACGAATTTCCTTTATTAATAGAATTAATACAAATTACAGAATTTCTTTCGCCAAATTTATTATTCTAAATTAAAATAAAAGGGTCAATTCTGAATTATGCTGAAAATTTTATAATCGTAATCAGTATAACAATTAAACTGGATTATAAATTAAAACTTGCTAAATCTAATATTTTCGGTTAGAATCCGCTTCTAAAAGCTAAATTCTGTAAAAAATAAAAACTGTTTCTAAATGTCTACGATGTAAAAGAAATCGGTAGCCGAGTAAAATCATTTTTCAAAGTACTTCTGTAAAATACTAGAAAGCAGCCTGTAACGTTCATTTCCATATATTTTTGATGTAAATGTTTAATAAGCTGGAAACTGTATTTCTAGCGGATTTTTTCTTAGATTAGAATAGTTCTATAAATATTTCATAAGTTAAATTCAAAACATTGGACCTATTTCCTTATAAGAATTGGTGAAGCATTTGACGTGAAACGGAGAAACTTAGAATTGTAAGAGGGAGAAAGAAAAAATGTTAACGTTTGCTATGATGAATTACATAAATGGAAAACTATTCTCTGCTTGAAAATATAAGATTAAAATTAACGAACCTTGAATTTAAGAATCATCTATTTAATATCGTTTATTTAGAAAAATGAGGTTATTGCTAATATTGCATTGGCAGACTTAAGGCAAATGTAAATCTCATTTATTTACATTCGAAAATCAGAAAATATATTCAATTATGCTTACGAAAATATTGGATTTGTTTAATATAAAATATTATAAACTTGACATATGCATGTATTTGCTTTGATGTATAAAATTACAAACAAAGTCAGTCTACAATGTTTATTCTAATTCAAAAATTTTCAGTTGAAATTTATAATAATTAATCGGAGCTTTACGAACAATCAAAAATTTTTGGTAATTTCAAAAATTATTAATAGCGATTTCCTTCCCCTTTTCTTATAATTTCAGATTGAGATATTTATTTCCTTTCTTGCTGAAAGTTAAAATCTTTATAGTCTATAATAAATTTTGTGATAAACAAGTCGTTTAAAAAAATAAATAAAAATAATTAATAGTCTAAAACCAATGGATAATTTTATTATTTTTAATTTTTAAAAATCCATTTATGTAGTTTATTAGTTTAGAATAATCTATAATGATGACAAATAAAACAAATGAATATCAAAATGATTCCCTGTTTAAACTTACTTGGTCACTCTTAGATAACGTCTGAAATGTAGGCAAACATTTCACCCAACGAATCACCATGAAGAGGAGCCGAGCTGTAACTTCTTGCACCGTTTCTCTAGGGGCACCCAATGCCATATTATGTAGAGGTGATCCCGTATATATAGATCTTATCACACCCGCATTTTGTCCTCCATCTCCACTGGTAGCCGGACAAGCAGTTGCAATTAAATTTGGAGGACAAATAAGCGTATGAGGAGGAGGAGGTAAAGCTGGAAGATGCGATAAATGATCAACGATCTTAGAACCCGATACACCTATTCCCAATCCACCGATGACCCCGAGACCTTGTCCTAATCGAACACTGTTCCAAATAAGTTCTTGGGATTTTTCTGCGTTTAGGAGCATCTGCAAAAGACCCGCTGAAGAAGCACCCATAAATGCTGCGGCCGCACCCTGTTGCATTTCCTTGGATTGAGCGAACATGGAACTATCAGATGCGGCTCCTGCCGCTGCTGCAGCGGCAACGGCAGCGGCAGTTGCTAAACTCGTAGGTACTTTACTCATGTCGAAATGAAATTTGGAAGTGTATGTGGCTGTTACGTTTTTTTGCAGGTCGCTAGGATCTTTAAATTTTGGTTTTCTTGGTCCTCTTTCGTGTTGAACAGCTGAAACGATAGAATTATGAGTGAATAGCGTGACAATTATGCTTAAAACGTGATTCTCTACTAAAACTCTTACGAACGAAAAAGTAAATTAAAAAAAGATAAGCAGTTATTAGTTAACATGCTTTTTAAAAGATATCTAAACATGGCACAGAACGCAAAATTCTCTTTAAAAATCAAATGGATCTACTTTCATTATGCATAGAAATTCAATATTAAAGCAAAAATAACGTTATAAACTGATTTATTATNATATTTTAGATTTCGGCTTAAATAATGAAAGTATTTAAGTACTGAGAAATTCCTCCTGATTTTAACGAGATTTTTACGAAGTCAAAATTATTTCCTTCATTTGTATTGACTTTATTTCTTTTCATGGAATTTCTAAGCTAAAATTTATACATTTTATGCTAAATCTGTGTATTAGATTACAGAAATTTCAACACTTTATCCAACAAAACATTGAATTTAAAAGAAAACTGTTTTCTGGAACAATTATTTTAAAAAATTATTATTTATATAAGGGAAACATCAAACTTTTTACGTGAGCAACAGATAAAAAAAATTCAATAAATCTTTTTTAGAATAAAGAAACTAATACAATGTTTAATAATTATAAATGTTAATATTTTAAAAAATTTTATTGATATAAACTGATATATATTAAGTTTATTCTATAGAAAGTTATAATAAAAGATTCAAAAGATGGCAAAGAAATTTAATAAATGGAAAAATATGATTAAAAGTGCATACAGCAAATAAATTCAATAAGTTTACAGAATATTTGACTAAAGGTGACGAAATCCTCAAAAATCTATATAATCTTAGAATGTTAGGTTAGAAAGTATGAATTGGAAAAGGAGGGACGGGCCAACCAGCAAACTTTTACTTGTAGGCCTATCCCCGAAAAGTTGACAAATAGCCGTTGTCACGACTTTTGATGGATGACGCCCAGAGAACGTTTTTGGGGGAGGAAATAGGGAGGGTTGAAAGTTTTCGTCTCCCGATAAAGTTTGATGCATAATGGATGACTAGTACAAACAGAGACGTTGCATTAAAACGGGCTTCCGGACACAATCATGATGCCGAAGCTATGTACTACCTCCGCCAATTCTTGCATTCATTTGCTTATCGAATTTTAAATTTTGTTTAAGTTAATATGGTCTAGCTTTTAAATTAAATAGATTTTTCAATAATCTGAAATTCATTTCATTCGTTTAATTCGCTATATGCAATTTTGGTTGTAGGATTTAATTAAAGAAAGCGTATCTATTTGGACTGTGATATCTTTTAAGCGTTGTTATTTAATCGCTTACAGATTTCAGTTTGTACAATTTATGATTGAAATTAAATGAATATTTTCTTTTATACTGTCTGAATTCAATGTTTTGATCAGATTTTTTTAATTCGTGTTTTTATGTATAAAATAAAATTGGATTTGGGAAAAAAATAACAATAATTTTTTTAATAAAGTAATTATTATTATGCTGATAATATAACTACATTTTACACAGGCCTGTGTATCTTTGAATATTAAATATATACTTTATATGACTTTATATGAAAATAAATTTAAATAGAAATTAAAGATATTGTAATATATTTTAAATTAATAAAAGTACTGTACGTCAAATTTAAACCAATTCAAATAATGTTTTTTTTTTTCCTTTTAAAAATTTTAATTTCTCATTTATTTTATACTTTTCAGCTTTAGTAGAACGTTTACATATTAAATGTTTTGAAGTGCATAAAAGAAAATTTAATTATGGCTCAAGCTATAGAATAGAAATTTTATTATTCTTATCGTTATTTTCAATAATATTTTTAATTATTATAGAATTATACAATATGGATTTTCTCTAGATCCTGTAGGTTTCATCTAAATCAGACATCACTAAAATAAACAAAAGCGATTTATTTTAGCTTTTTCTGTGTCCAAATCAATACAGAATTGTAAGCAATAAGGTTATTTAAAAATTGGCAAGTACAATACTGTATATCCTAATAAAAGATAAGTTAGGTCATTTAATTTAAGTCAATTCTGCGATTTAGGCTAATTCATTAGTTAATTATAATACCTAATGGAGCAAGATTTAGGCCTACCTCAGTCTTAACTCATCGAATCATCAAATTACCTAATTTTGAATTTATTCCCTTTATTTTCCTTATATAGAATATTATGATTAATTAACAAATTGTTATAATTTTGCTATAAGATAGAGCAAATAATTTCAATTGATTTCATTGTAATGGCCTATCAAAGTAGCTCTGCCGACATCTTCGTTAAAGAGATGATTTTTCGTTTTATGTTCTCTTAATTCTTGGAGGAGTTTTCCTACGAGGAGATTGAGTGATTCAGGGGTAGTCTAACGTGCAGTTCCACCCGCGAATTAGTCCTCCTAAAAGCTAGAATTTATCAAATGTAAGTGTACTTCACATTGATCAGAGACAGGGTGTAGAAATTAGGATAAGAGATCCCTCTATTATTGAGAACAATAGTCATGGGAAGGGGAACCTCTCTCGATTACCAACAGATGCCAATTCCGCGATGAAGCAGACAGATGATCAACTTATCATAATGTTACAGAGATTAAGATGATTGTATATCAGCATTTATATTTAAATCTTCAAATTATACTTCTCAAAATGATGACCACGATGTTAATAATAATAATATTATTAATTAATTAAATCCATATTCAGATTAAATTGTTAAAGATTTCAAAAGAAAATATTCTAAAAGTGTCGATCCATTTTAAAAATGGAGTTACTTCAATTTAAGCGACCGCTAAGTAAACTTACTTTAAAAACAAGCAAATTCGAATGCACAGAACGTGTTTATCCCGCTTTCAAAGTGGAATACTTATGTTGATCATTCTTCTATATTATGAACAGGGGGCCAGTATTAGAGCGATGGGAATCCAGAGGGTGGTAAGCATCGATTTCTTTGTCGCCTTTCGTGTCTCCTTACAGAAAAACATTCGTTTGCGTGTAACCAACCGACCAGATGACGTCAACGGACCGTTTTAAGTCCATTTGACTACAGGGTTCGACAAATCTATTGTTCTGATCCACTAAAAATTACCGTTCGAGCAAAGAAGCTCGGAAAACAAAGGGATACGGACGGCAAAACACTTTTGGAATTACGGATTATTTCACTAAAATGTGATTATTTTGTATAAAAAATTAAAAAATAAATAAAAACCTCTACTTAATTTTAAAGCTCTAAAAGAAAAAGATTGCTTTATTCGTTAAAAATTAAACTTCATATATTTTTTCTAAAAATAATGCAGCTCAAACTACATTTTAAATTTTATTTTCATTTTTTTTCTCTTAATTTTCTCTTTATAAAGCTTTTATTTATTCGTATTAAAAAAAGAGCTAAATTTAATCGAAATCGCATAAGACCAAGTAATAATATTTTAACCTATAATATCAGCACATGGGAATAATTTAAAGATTACAACGAATGCGATAAATTGTAAACAAAGTTAAAGCATAAATTTATTCAAAATTCAAATAAATATAACCTGTAATAATATATAGTTTTATAACCAAATAATGTAAAAGCACAGTCATTATGTATCAGTTAAAGCGGATTTAATTTCGGTTATGAACTTATCCAAATTTGCGATAATTCATTATTGAATAAACAATCTCTCGTTTATACAATGTGCAGTTTTCAAAGGTCTGTAAATACCGTTCATCTTTACTCATATTCTATTTATAATAATCCCTAAATTAAACACCTTCAAAATATTAACTGGAATTAGGATAACATACGGTTAGTCACTGCTTTAAAACAAGGTTCGTGATGATTGTGTTGTAACTACTTTGTCTCTGGGCGATCTGCCCTAATCACTCCTTTGAAGTGCTTTACTTCTATCTCGTAGAGTTATCAAACATTGATCACGTGATCTCTTTCGAAAGGTGAGTACGTGACATTCGGTGACAAACAAGACTCCAGAAAGATGCCAGAATGTGCAAGAGAATTGGATTAATCAGTGACAGGGTCCAGCTTATAGACTGTCACTGCTGCCTTTTATCTATGTCAATAGTGACTACTGAGTGCTACTTAAACGGATCGTATGTCCGATCTCATCGGAAATCTTTAGCAAAGGTCGTCCTCCTACATTCCGCTAGATCTTGCCTTTAGGCTTTCTACTTAGCTTTCCGACAATATTATGGAGAGAGATGATTTGTTACAATTACATTCTTAGTCTTAAGAAAATTCTCCTTCGCTACAAAAAGAAACTTTAAAGACTCTGAAAGGCAGGATACTCTCAGAAATAAAAATAACTTTGGGATTAACGTTTAGCATATTCATTCATTTATAACATCTGCATACAAGTTTATGAATATTCTATTTATTTTAACTATAGGCTGTATTCCTTTTAAAATGAGATTAATGTAATGAAAAACCAACATTTTTAGTCTAATAAACAAAATTGTATGCACAATATATTTATAAAATGCATTTATAATTTTTCTTTTTAAAATTTATTCTCTAAAACATGAATTTTAATAATAATAATTAAATACAAATTTTAGATCTAATTTCATTTATTTATTTATTTTTCGAATAGATAGTTCAATTTATATTAATTATAATTAAATTTATAAAGTTAAAAATTACGACTTCTAAATTATTTATTTTAAAACATGACTTAAATTAGGCATAAATTAATTTTTTGATACTAAAAGACTATTTTTGAATAAAGTATTTTTATTAATATATAAAAAATTGCAGAAAATGATTATGTATTTTTTAAGTTATTTAAATTATAATATAATCTCTTACGTTAATTTTAAGTTAGTTACATCTAAATCGATAAGTGTTATTTACTATAAGTTAATCTAGCAATTTGCGCCTTACATTAACTATAATTTACAATAACATTGTGTAATTACTAGTGTAACAACACACACACGTTAATAAATATAATTTATACAGAAGTATTTTTAAAATATCATATAAAATTAATTTATAAAATAAAATTCTC